AAGGGTAAATTACACCGTTCCTCATTGAACTATATTCTCTCTCTTATTTTCTTCACTTAACTTTCAATTTTTCTATTTTGCTAACTGAACTTTACAAATTGAATCATTTTGTTCACTCTGTCATTAACTATTTAATAGTGTTATGACGTTACACAAGCATCAAAACCAAATTGTTTTGAAAAACTCAAATATACACCAAAACGACGTCGTTTCGAATCCTATATTAAAAGTTCGGTGAGTAAAATAGCAGAGGCATTAAAGTTCAGTGTGGAATTGCGTAATTTACCCATTTTCCTTTTCTTCTTCATTTTCTCTACGCCGGTCACCATGTCATTTTCATTCCAGCCACCGTCCACTGTCGTTGACGGTGGCCGTTCGATCCAAAATATCATGGGTCTGTTCATTTCGACCCCCTGAGTCTGAATATGATGGTTGTTTTCACCGGAGAATGTCCTAAAACCCGTGAATCTCGATTGAAACGTTTTGGCTTCCTCACTTTCAATCTCAATTCATGGAATTCAGAGCAACTTCTGAAAAAATGGAGGTTGGATTTCAAATCACGATGTCGAGGCGAAGCGACCCATGAAATTTGGGACCGAACAACCACCATCCACGATAGTTGATGGTGACCGACGGTGGCATCCATCCACCTTTTTATTTTTTTGTTATTTTCTAAATTATTTTATATTAAAAAAATAATAAAAATGCCACATCATCTAGCCATTAGAGAGAAAACGGAGGAGTGAAGAAAATGATTCAATCTCTAAGTTTAGTGAGCAAAAAAAATCAAAAGTTGGGTGAGGAAAATAGGAGAGAGAGTATAGTTTGGTGAGAAACAGTGTAATTTATCCTAAAAAAACTATCTCCATTTATGTCTTGTTATTATTCGGTTTACGGATCATTCATATATGTGATACATGAATATTTAAGAGATTGATGTTAATTTAATTTAATATTCACATTTAATATTTTCTAAAAATAAAAAATAAAAAAACTGATAGAAATCGTCCTAAAATATAATACTAAAAATGAAATATTATCGCAATACAATAATTCACACAATTAGGAGGAACACAACTTGCTCCGATTCAACAATTTTTTTTTAAAATTTTAAATTATTCAAGTTATTTCAAATTATTGAGTAAAATATAGATTTTATCAAATTGAAAATTAAAAAATTAAATTTCAAAATAATAATATTTTGATCTTTAATTAAATAATTTGATTATTTTATGATTTAATCCATGATTTTTAATTTTCTTTCATTTTAAGTCTATTTAACCAAATTTAAACCATGTGATCCTAAACTAATACCTATGTACCTTCAATTTTTCTTTTTGAAAATAAAAGTTTTCTCTTTCAATTTTGTATTTCAACTTTGTACGGTTTTCTTGTTTCTTCAATCCCACCTTCATTTTATGTTCATTTTGATTAAATTTGAATCACATGCTCGTACACCATTAGAGAATACTTATATAAGTTCGATTCATTTTTTAGCAATAAATTTACTCTACATTTAGTTTCTCAACTTTGTATTTTATTTAATTTAATTCTTTAACTGTAGTTTTTTTTAATCCATTCTTCCTATTAATTTCTTCTAAAATTATTTCCTATCATTAATTTCTTCTATTATTTTATTATTCTATCAATACTTTGCTCTCAAAATACATTCTTTAAAAACAAAATTAGTATATTTTATAATTTTAAATAATATTTATTTTATTAATAATATTATAAATTTTAGTTACACATACGAAAAATATAAAAAATATATATTATATGCTTAAAAATATTTAAAATAAAACCGATGTTATCATAATATTGTAAGTAATCACAATTAAATTTTAAAATAAATATTTTTTTGCGCTCCCTGTTCTTTATAGCTCATGACTTTAATGAACCCTTTTGGTTAATAAATCTTTTAAGGTAAACTACACCAAAGTCATTAATGTTTAAGTAAATTTTGTTTATTTCACTGAAGTTTGAAAAGTGACAAATTGTTCATTAACGTTATTGATTTTTAACAAAATGATCACTCTACCGTTATCTCCATTAAAATGATGATGTGAAAACGCTAAAAAACGGTTAATATTTAGTTTTACCCCTAAACTATAGCTAAGACATCAAACAAGTCATTGAACAATGATTTTATATTTAACCCCCAACACTATCTAATTTCAATTTTTTTTCCAAATACCCCACCACCTCCACTATATTTGAACCACCATCTTATTTTTTTATATACTTTCTCATTTTCATTTTTTCAGGATTAAAGGTTGAGGTTGTTACTACAAGAACACAACAAACGACAAATTACAGTATTGCTAAAACAAATGGAGTCAAATACATTTATTTTACTTAATCAAAGAGACCAAGAGATAAAAAAGAAGCAAACAAAATAACGAAGCTTTAAAAATTGTTGAAAAAAACTAGAGATGGATAATCATGCATGGCAAAAAGTGGCGTGCGAGAGAAAAGCAATGCTTGTGTCTCAAAACAATAAGTTGGAAACACTACGAGAACAAGTAACTGCCACAATGGAGTCAATGATGCATAATCATGGTGTGAAGTTGTAGATCAACAAGACGAAGAAAGAAGAATAAAAAGAACGTAATGGTTTACAAACGTTGTGATACTCCAAGTATTGCGTTTTTGAAAGGAAAATATTTTTTTCTTGTGTTAATAATTGTCATTTAAGCTTAGTTAATGTTTTACATGAATTAACATTGCATTGAGTGAATGAAATTATGGAATTTGAATTTTTGTTAATAATCTTTGAAACTTACTAAATCACTAAATTATGGTCAAATTCAAGAAAACAACATCCAACAATAAGAGTAGCTATGATTATATTTATGCATATTTTTGTTCTTTTCCTACTTACTCGAGTGATTAACAAGCAACAGGACATACAATTGGTGGTTTGACAGGAAGAATCATGTTGGCAACTGTAGGTTTGAAACTGGCAGTAGTTTCCATAGCAAACTTTAAACTAACAAGACAACCATGAATTATACAATAAGAAAGAAAATACCAACATAGAAATGTTATCACTAAGCACATAAAATTAGCTAAATCATTTGACCCAAAACAACCAATAAACGAAAACATGTGGGTTAGTGATTGATGTAATGTGTTACTAATTTACATTATGGTTGTTTGCTAACTTAACCATATAACAGCTCTTGTAGAGTCCAAAACGCAAACATTTGGAACATCACAACGTTTGTAAATTATTGTCATTGTTGTTCTTTCTTCATCATGTTGATCTCCAACTTCACACCATGATTATGCATTGTTGACTCCATTGTTGGCAGCTACCTGTTCTTGTAGTGTTTCTAGTTTATTGTTTTGAGACACAACCATCGCTTCATTCTCACTCGCTACTTTTTTACATACATGTTTTTCTATCACCAGCTTCTTCAACAATTTTTAAAGCTCCATTGTTTCGTTTGCTGTTTTTTGTATCTCTTGATCTCTTTGATTAAGTAAAATAGATGCATTTGACTCCTTTTATTTTAACAATACTATAATTTGTCGTTCATTGTGTTATTGCAGCAACAATCTCAACCACTTATCCTAAAAAAATGAAAATGAGAAAGTATAAAAAATGAAAAAGAAACGCTTTTTAAATCTCCACTATCTTTTATTTTGTAAGGAAGTTGGTTCGAATATAGTGGAGGTTGTGGGATATATAAAATCATTGTTCAATGGCTTATTTGATGTTTTAGCTATAGTTTAGGGATAAAACTAAATATTAAATATTTTCTTAACATTGTCTCATCATTTTACCAAAGATGACGGTAGAGTGATCATTTTGTTACAAATCAATAATATTAGTGACCAATTTGTAAATTATGAAACTTTAATAGGAAAACGAAAACTTACTAAAATATTAGTTACCATTAGTACAGTTTACGCATCTTTTAATTGATAATTACCAATGTTATTAAAACCGGACCGGACCGGCCGGTTCAACCGGTTGAACCGTGAACCAGTGGCCTGTCCAGTCCGGTTAACTCCCAAAACCGGATAAGCACAGAACCGGCTGAAAACCGGTAGAATCGGGGTGAACCGACTGAAAACTGGCAAAACTGGTTTGAACCGCCGATTCACTTTTTTTCCTTTTTTTTAAAAAAATTAAACCAAACGACGTCGTTTGTTCAACGAGCCAAGTCAAATTCGAGTATTGCTGAGCTCGACTCGAACTCGAAAACTTTAAAAGTAAGCTCAACTCGACTAAAAAACTCACGAGCTAAAAATTGTCAAGTTCAACTTGAACTCGAAATATAATATTAAAATTTGAACTCGAAAAGACTCGAACTCAAAAAAAATTAGAAGTTCGATTGAAGCCTAAAATTTGAGCTCAATTGAAGCGAAAGAATAGTTCGCTATGTGCTCACCAAAATGCTCCATGATTTTGAATGTCAAATTACCTATATTATTTATAGAAGTAAGTTGGGATGCTCTTCTATGTTTCTTAGCTATGTGAGATTGTTTTGTTCTCATAATTTTACTCTTTAAACTTTTGGGGTGCTCTTCTATGTTTCTTAGCCATGTGAGATTGTTTTTTTTAAAAAAATTAAACCAAATGACATCATTTGTTATGATTTTTTAAGTCCTAATTTTATATTTTTGATTATAATTATATAATTATATTTATTATTTAATATGTTTTACCTTAAATATTATGTTGTAGTTGATTTGAATCATTTTGTTTCACTTGATTTTATGATTTTTAATTTATATATGTTATGACTTGTGATATTTTTATACCTTTTAATATTGTAAACTTAAAAAAAGTGTTACATATATATTAATATTGCTTTGAATATTATGTAAAATTAAAAAAATATTATTTTATATAAAATCCGATTCAACCGCGGTTAAACTCGATTGAACCAGTAAACCAGCGAATCAGTACCTTCACCGATTCATTGTCCGGTCCGATTTTAAAAACATTAATAATTACACGTCATTACAAAATCCATGCAGTGCGAGCGGAAACCAATCATTGCCTGCCGCTCGGGTACTCAACCACTGAAAATCAATCCACGATCCTCACTGTCTGTCCATTCATTTCAGGCAAGCTTCTTTCAAAGAATCAACCCAAAATTCCCAGCAAAGCACCCATAGCCGTTAGAAAATTTGTAAAACATGGAACCCATAGCTGTTTACAGCAGCAAAGCTAGCCCATTTCTGTCTTCTCCAAGGATTACAACGCATAAGTCGTTTAAATCATCACCAAAATCTGCAACTTTCTCAACTGTTCTCATTCAATCCATGGCTACTCAAAAACCACCGCCTCCGGTTGCTAAAACTGTTGGTTCTAGGAAGGTCAGTCCTCTTTTCAAATTCAATCCCTCTCCGTTTCTTTTTTCAATGGCTGGGTTTGAGTTTCTACGTGTTTAATGTATTGCTCGCAATCGGTTTGATTAAATGACAAATTACCGTTATCCCTTGTTCTAATCTTTGTAATATCTGAATTTGATGCAGGGGTCGAGCTCGAGTTTTTTCCCGCTGGGTGAGCCGGGGCCACGGAACAGCGCAGTGGCGGCACAACCGGTGAAGCTGCTAACAAATGTGGAGAAACTGAAACTGCTAACCAAAGCAGAGAAAGCAGGGCTGCTATCAGCAGCCGAGAAGTTTGGGTTATCTCTATCGTCGATAGAGAAGCTCGGACTCCTTTCCAAGGCTGAAGAGCTCGGGGTGCTTTCGGCGGCGACGGACACCGGAACTCCAGGGGCACTGTTGACACTTAGCTTGAGTTTATTGCTTTTAGGACCCTCATGTGTTTACCTTGTGCCTGAAGATAACCTGTGGGAGATTGTGTTGCAGGTTGTGGTGGCTACTGTGTGTGTTGGTGGTGGATCTGCAGCTTTTGCTGCATCAAATCTTGTGTCGAATTTGCAGAAATAAAGCTGAATTCGGTATTTAAATAATCAAATTTGCAGGAATCAAGCTATATTGTTATTCAGTAGGGACTTCCATTTTCTGTGATTATATCCTCTGCTACTTGTGAACCATCTTTTGTCCATCTCAGCCTTCAAAGGTGCTCGGATCGGGATCGGTATCGAGCTCGGATTAAATTATGTTTAGAAGTAAATTGTCATGCTTCAAAATATTTATAAAAACACCCTTAATACACACTATATATAAGGATGGATTGGGTGGACTTAAGGGGCTAATTTCGTATGTTCCAAACTTCTGATATAACTTTTTAAAAATTCATATCCCATACATAAAATTGTATCTACTTTACGTGACTTCATTGTACCAGTGGAATCAATGGAGCCAAGCGTGATTAGGAGAATGTGGTTTGTTTGGCCCAATACGGGTCAATTATTTAGGGTATTGGGCCTCCAAGATTTTATTTTAGAAAATACGGTATTTTCTATAGTATATTAGGGACTTGTCATGTTTAGGTGACAATTTCCCTCAAATATTATTTTTTAAATGGTCCCTGAGTAGTGGGCTCCACGTGGATTATTATTTTATCATCATTAGTATGATTCGTCACGTCGAGGCGTATAGTCCATTTAAAAATCATTTTTTAAAATTATAAAATAAAACTAAAATTTATAAATTTCAAGAAAAAATTAAATGGAACTTGTCATCCCGAGGTGACGAAAGAACTCGTCAACAGGCAAATGGGCGACAGTCACATAGGTAACGATCACTTGGAACTCGTCATCTCAAGTTGACAAGTTCGTCTAAAAATTTGAAAAAACTAGCCGTTATAGTCATTAGAGGTAAGGTTATAAATAGGGTTTTGGGTTTTATTTTTTTACCAAACCCTAAATACAAAAAATTGTAAAAAAATATATTTTATGTCAAAATCTCAAAAATGGCAACTCGAGAATATGTGTTGCGCCTGGATAGCGTATATGTTTCTTCAATCCAACACAGGCCAGAAGATGAATGGAATATTAGCAAGCGCGGGATGACATACGAAGAGCCGCATCAACAAATGTTGATATATCTACAACAATCCTGTATATTTTCGGTCATATTTGTATGTGGCTTCAATCTATACCCGACATTGATTGAGGCTCTGATCAAACATTGGTGGCTTGAGATGCACACGTTGTATTTCCCGAGTGGTGAAGCGACCATTACTTTTGGAAGATGTTGCTTACCAACTCGATGCTCCTATGAATGGAGCCCTTGTGATGTGTAAGAACATTTACAACCCCGTGACGTTGGTTTACCAAGTTTGGGGAAAATGGCCATCATCCGACGTCATCAAGGGTTATCGAGTGCTGATAAAGTGGTTGGAGTCTGAATTACAAGTGACTGCCGACTTTTTTGAGGAGGAGGTTATTTTTGTGTCCTGGACATATCTTCTCCAACTGATAAGAGGGGTATTATTACTGGATAAATTCGATAATTTGGCGCACACTCAGTATCTGTGATATTTGGAAGACTTCACTGTGTGATGTAATACTAGTTGGGGCTCGACGATTTTGGTCTTTCTGTGCCGGTAACTCTGCAAGGCTGCAATTGTCCAACCGGTTTGAAAAGTCGATGTAGTCGTGGGCTTGGTATCGATTCCTATTTTTGACTCCAGTTACAACAACCCCAGTCGAGTTTCCGCTGGCTGCAAGGTAATTGCTTAACTTCATTTATTAACCTTTTTTTTAATTTGATAAATTTAATTTTTTTATAATATTTTTTATTTTTAAATATTTTAGATATCGTTATAAAATATCCGAGACAAAGTTGACGGGTTCCATTGCACGAGATATACTGATGAGGATTGACATCACCCGTCGATATGCATTATGCATTTGTTATTTTTTTTTTTAACTTTATATATACTAACTTTGATATTTAATATTTACAATTTTCTTGGCTTTTGTATGTTGACGAAGAGATCAATCAGTTATTGCCAGGGTGATTTTTTAAGGGGTCCTACTTATGGTGTGTCGTGATGTCGTTATTGCTTTATACGATTGTTGAGTGGCACACCATTGGTAGAGTGATGCGACAATTTGTGTCGTACCAACCGATTCCTATGCAAATGGTTGATATGGACACGCTCCATATAATTGATACGCGTGGGAAATATAACGAAAATTGATACATCGACCTATGAAATCAGCGTGAACTATCTCTCCCCTCGCATCACGACATTGCACCATTGGATCTAGATTTTGACTATTCTCTCTATCTCCAAAATTACGAAGAAAATGAGAAACATATCTCATGACACCAGAAGAGAAGGGAAAATGATAACATCATCAGGCCACATGCACCAAGTCCAAGTCCAAGAGGAAAGCATCATCGTTGTCGTCTTCAGCTTCAACATTTGTAGCTGAAGAGTACTATTATGCATCTTAGGCTAGCTTTGGTTTCTATCCTCCATATCATACTTAAGCCGAGACTCGACCAAATTGGTTGAAGGCTTATGAGATGCACCACAATACACTCAAACATCTTCGACAAAATAAGCAGTTGTAGGTGAGTGAGACCATATCCTATATAGTCAACAAAGTAGCCGCTAAGTCGAATCAGTTATGGCAATGATGGTGTCAAATACCATAAACCCATAACCGTATTTCGAAGGTGGATCTCGAAGTGTGTTAAGTAAACCTCATCGGTAAAATGCCACCGCTGTCGTCGCTGTCGCCTCCGACGACAACGACGATCAAGTCCTACGACCCCGACGTACTCGACGAGTCCCGCGCCATTATCATTCAACAACTCTTCGACATCATAAAGAACTTAGGAAATATAGATGAATTTTCTTTGTATTTTCATTTACTTTGTATTTTCTAAAATATAAATAAATTCATTTTTCTTTTAATTTTATTTTTTAAAATTTTATCTGACCGAACTCGTCACCTCGAGATGGTGAGTTTAAAGTGAGTATTGCTGACTGTTGCCCGTGGACCAATGGCTACAAAACGACTAGTTTTTTTTGAATTTGAAGGAACTCCTCACCTCGAGGTGACGAATTCCATCTAATTTTTTTAATCTATAAATTTTAGTTTTATTTTATAATTTAAAAATAATGATTTTTAAATAGACTCGTCATCTCGACGTGATGAGATAATAAAATAATGGTTCACATGGGGCCTATTACTCTGGGACCACTTAAAAATAATATTCGAGGGAACTCATCACCTCGAAAAGATGAGTCTCAAGTACATTGTAGCAAATTCTATATTTTCCAAAATAAAATATGGAGAAATACAATACCTTAAATAATTGATCCGCTTAGGGTATTGGGCCAAAAAAATCCAGGAGAATGTTAAGATATGGGCCAAAAGGAGACCTTGGAGATGAATCTAAATTCTCATGAGCATCAATCAAGGGGGGAAAACCAACCCCAAATTTGAAATTCTATGATTATTAACTATATTAAGTATAAATTATAAATTTAATTTTTATATTTTAATTTGTTCAATTTTAAATTTTATAGTTTTCTAAAATTTAAATTTTTAATCTTACTTGGACGATAAAGAAATAATATAATTAAATTACATGGCTAAAATCATAAAATTAGAGAACATGAACTGGATTTACAATTAACATATAATATAAGAATTAATAGTAGAATTTAACTTATTTCGCAGATATTGTTCAGACCGTGATAAAAATTTCAAAATTTAAAAAGTATGAAGACTAATCGTAAAATACAATCATTTTTAGGTGTCTTCAATGTTTATATTTATTATTCATGTTTAAGTCTCATCCGATAATATCGATTTTAGGTATGGGTTGGGTTTCGGCCAACCCGATCGACCTGAAAATTTTATACCCTTCACCCGACCTGAAGCGACCCGACCCGAAAATATATACCCTCCACCCGGCTTGAACCCTATCTGATTTTTGAGATAAAATCCGAATCTGATCCAACCAGACCCGAAATAATAAAAAAGTATTATTTTTATTCAATAAAAACAATATTTAATTACAAAAATAATTTTTAGAGGGATATTATTGTAAATATTCTTAAATATATAAGGTAAAATTATATTTTTTCGGGGTCGGGTCAATTTCGATATTTTTCACCCTAAACCCAAATCCGACTCGAACCGAACATCACGTTTAAAAACCTGAACCGACCCGAAATCAAAACTTTTTTTTTAAAAAAAATCCTACCCAATCAGATCGGGTCGGGTTAGAATCCACCGGATTCGGGTCCTATGCCCATCCCTAATCGATTTCAAGATCAAATCGGGTCGAAACCCATCGAATTCGGATCCATGCCCATCCATAATCGATTTCAAAATTTAGTCTTTAGATTCTTTTATCGGAGTATAATACACATCTCATACTTGCTAATTAAAAATAATACAAATAATAATATATTGATGGTTAAAAAATATATGGTTAACTACGTGATTAGTCCTCTGATAGAATAATACCAAAAGGTGACGTGTTACACACATCTTGAAAGGAAACAAAGCAAAACAAATTGAGGCCAAAGGGATTTAAATCTAGGTCACTTGAGAAACCAAACATATACCTAACTATTGAGCTAAGACTAATGTTTGATCTAAAATAGATAATATAATGTATATATTTTGTATCTTAGAATATAAATATTGAACTTAGATTCATAATGTTTTATTTATATTAAATTTTAAAAATATTTTATATTAACTTATTAAATATATTTTATTATTAACTTAATTTAAAAATATTTTATTTTAATTGAGGCCAAAGGGGTTATGGTTAAATAGTGACACATTGCATCATTTGATTGGATGACTAAATTTATTTTAATTTATTAAAAATGAGACTAAATTGATAAAAATATATAAATAATATAGACCAAATGTGTGATTACACCAAAAATATTTAACTGTCACATAGCCTAATTTGTTAACCTTTAATGACAGTTAACCCACGGTAACCGCATCTTAATTAAATAAAAACAAAAATGACCATATATTATAGTTTTTGAAATCAGTGAGAAAAAATAGACAAA